TTTCTACTTTAAATGTTATATATTGGAAAATTTTCAGTTTCCTCAGTATATTTTTAACTTGTGCATAAATCCCCAAATAGTGAGGTTTCTGAGGCTGCCCACTGTTTTTCATTCCTTGCCAAATTACCTTTTCTATAACGAAATGTCAATGTTTTTATGTTTAACATCAGGTTAAGGAAAAATTAACTTCCTCAGATCTCTTCTTTCCCCATGCATTTCTGTCTCCAAGTGGTTTTTGAAAGTCACCTTCTTTTCATGTTTCCTCAGGTGCTTCGTAACACAACTGTGAAAGCAACGTTGTGGTTTCATTCATAATGCATATCTCAGGTATTTTACTCCTTTCCTGTGGACAAAATTAAGGATAAAAGATGTTGGATTCTGTGACGAGGCTTGGCATGACTTACAGACCTCTTTCATTTAATCTGCAGGTGTTTGCTTTGGAAGGCAATTAAGCATCTCAATTCTTTTGAAGTTTCCCATACGTTAATATCCCCATCTCTCTCCTTTTTTGTTTTTTTTTAAATATCTTTCATAACATAAAGATCAATATTGAAAAGGTAGTGGCTTCTCACATCCCTGTGGATTTGTGATGATTTATAAAATATAAATGATTAACCTAATAGTGTCTTTTTTTTTGTATGCAGTTACATTGCTGTTTAGTACTTCCTTGTGGGATAGGTGTTTATAGAGTTTATTAGAATTATTTACTATATTAACCTTTGCCAAATACCATAATATTGGTATATCTTTTCCTGAAAGAGCAGAACTGATATGCCTGTGCCACAGCTCCTTCCACTGTGGCACTTAGCAGCACTTTAAATGTCTGCTCAAGTCCCATTGGTTAATCCATGGTGAGTCTGAAAGTCAACATGTTGAAATAACAATATTGACTTCTGGAACAATGCTTTAGTAGTAATTGCACATCTGTAGTTGTGTACCATGATGCTGCATCTCATCACAGTAGAATCTCAGGAATCAGAGTTTATATCCAGAAAAGATATCATAATATATTAAATATTTTGTGGTGCCTACAAAAGAAATAAATTGTCAGATAGCTGGGTTGCCATCATGAGTTCTTCTATTTATCAGTAATAATGTATCATTTGCAAGTATTTACTAGCTTCTTATTCAGCACAGGTGCACCATCATTATGATAAACTTATGGATGTCTTTAGAAGTGTTACTAGAGTAATCTATTATCTATCTAGTTATACAAAAAACATTTTTCCAATTGAAACAATTTTTATATGAATCAAGAAGTTATCTATAAATATCAGAGCTAATAATTGCTTATTAGTTGCAATTAAATTACCAATGTATCAGAGCAGTGTTTAAAATTACAAATATTTCAATCAATAAAAAATTAGTTTTTATGTTGCTGATGAGCTTTACACATGTTTTTCTGTATAGGATGTGAGGTATCATCTGGAAATATCTCCATTTTTTTTTTGTTTTAATAAGAGGAAAAAAAATACCTGTGGCATAGAACACATCAATTTTGGGCAATATCTTTGTACATTAATAGAGCTTTAAATTTTTACTAATAAATCAATAGTAATTTTTATAATAAGAACTGATTAAATAGGAACAGGACTGAGATAATGCATATTTATTAATTTACTCATGGATTTTTTTTGTTTGTTTAGAAGTAGGAAAAATGCTTTAGAATTTGGATACGTCAGCATTGCTTTTCTGTATCACTCATTTGGCCTTCTCTGTGTCCTCTTTGGTAGCTGAATATTAGCTTGAAAATATATGTACTGGTATGTTTCAAGTGATCTGGTGTTCCTTTTGAATTCCACATTGATTAAGCCTTCTTAGTTATTTGGAATGTGAAGTGTCTTGCTGGCAGGTTATGAGAATGCCTGCTGGAAAGGAAACATAATGACATTGAATAGACTGATTGCTCTAAATCACATGGAGCACGCAAGGTTTGTTTACAAACCCTCAGAAGGAAGATACTGTGGTTTTCCCTCTGCAGACTGATATCAAAAGAACTCCATGATGCTCCTATTGTGCTGCAGGATATGATTTGGTTATGTTATTGGATCATTTAGTGTGTTTGATAAGAAGTGAAAGTGAAATACCAGGAACATGCAAATAATGTTGTACTTACAGTCTTTTGTAATTTTTCCTTAATTAGCTTCAGGGCAAAATCACTGTGCCTTTGAAAAAGCCCCAGAAGATTTTAATTTTGCTAAAATAATATCTAAACAATTGTTATGAGATGGCACTAGAAATGGGGAATATACCTTGTTCCCTTTGCATGTAATTTCTGTTAATTTTTAAAAAGATCTCTTCATTCAGTTGTTGCTTGTAAATAAGATTTCAAAATATACCCTATTGTTAGATTCTTTAATATCCAGTATATTGCACTCCAAGGATCCCATTGCAGTCAAAAAGAGGGACTACTCTCTGTTTCAGACAGCTATGCCTCCATTAGGTTGTTCTCCCAAATTCTCCAGAAAACATCCCCTGGAAACAATAGGTTTTTCCATTAGGAGCAGTTCCTTTCCCCCCAAGAGATAATAGTAAGTTCAGAATTACAAGGACACTAGGAATGGAAAATCTGTAATTTTCCAAGGATACTTCATTATCATTTTTTCATTCATTGCACTTAATCTCAGGAAAAATGTGAATTTTCAATAACTCCTCCAGATAGATATTCAATTTACTATTACATGCATATACTTGTATTGAAAGAAGAGCTAAAGATTTGCTTCTACAAAGACTTTCTGTTCATGGTAAGTGATGCACTAGGAAAGTAGGTTAAAAATATGTTGCTAGGAGACAGAAGAGGATCCTAGCAACTGCTTCTGAAAATGAAAATTGTATGCCTGTGTAAGGATGGAGATTCAACCCACAGCAATCCAGCTAGCTAATACTGTTTTGTTAGAGGATTAATTCTGTAGCCTCAATCTCTGCTATTTTATTAGTAAAAGAGTATTTATTATTTAGAATAATGTTCTTTTTTGTCCATTATAGTATCTTACAACATACTGATAACATTCTCAGTATTTATCTGGACCAGAATTGTAAGATTTGAGATCCATGTTCCTCATTTATATGCAGGACTCACCAGTTAGAAAGATGCTCATTAACCTGTGGCTTTATGCAATCAATACTCTAACAGAGTATTTGTTTTATTGATTTTTTGTTGTTATATTCAGACATTTAACACCTCAGGGAGAAAGTATGCAATTATGATCCCAAATAATTTTTAGGAAAAGAAATAATAAGGGATTTTTGGAATATATATAGCCTTCTCTTCTTTCAGCACTAGTATCACGTCCTTCCTGTGCTTTCATTTTTCCGTCTTCTTTTCCCACTTGTTGTCATTTTCCACAATAGTTCACCTCGTAGCATTTGTACCTTTGCTTTTCTGTTAAATCTTTTCTCCCTTCCTCTTGCATTTCTTAAGCAGACATCCTTACCTTCTCTTCTCTCGCTTACTTCTCCCTCTTCCCTGATCCACACAGTTATATTTATTTTCCCTAATGAACCTTTGTTTTGGAAAATAGGCCATTAGTTGCAGGACACCGTAATGCTACGATTCATTCTAGCATTGCTAACTACCTTCAAGGCAGAGGGCTTTTATTGGTGAAACCAGCCCGAATGGTACAGAAAAGTCCTTTTTACCTTCAGTGTGTGCTAATGTTGTGTGAGCTCAGGACCACTTGATCTACACCCACACGATTTTTCTACCTTAAATATAAGATAGACTTAAATATGCACATATAATTACACTTAAATATAGTCACAGATAGCATATCATCCTAAAATTGTGTGTGTATTCTTACACATGTGTGTGTAAGGCTGTCTTGATCAATGTCAAGATAAATTCTGATACAGGAGTACCATAAAATAGGTCAACATGCAGAGCAGCTGTAGGTTCCAGTATGTGTTATTCTTCTGTATTATACACTTGAGTCAGTCTTGGAGCAGTAGAAGAGTTAAATGTGTAAAAAGCCCAGACAGTCATTGTGATATGACATGCTGTGCCCTGCAGATGAAGGCCAGTTAAGAAGTAGGAAATCAGAAGGAGATTTAGATATCAAAAAGGGCAAAAATAAGGGATGACAGGTGAAGAAAAGGCAATCAGATGTGAATTTACTTTCTACAGCTATCTTGAGTAAAATACCTATGCATATAGGCAAATATCACTGAGGAGTAGCTTTGGAGAAATTGTGATTCATAAAATAGGAGATGGTAGAAATCACTGGAAAGAAGACAGCAATTCCTGAATGAGGAATCACATCCAAGGCTACTGTAGCATCCTGAGTATCTTCCTTTTAGAAAAACTAGTTTTTCTTCTATGCTAATTTCATGGATCACTGGAGAAACAGATCCATTTTATACCTGTGTTTGGATTTTTTGTCTTTAAGACTTTCTTCAACACTCCTTTCTTCTGTGGCAGAACTAAAGCTATGTGCACTGCAAACACAAGAAATGTACCTGGCTTCAGTGTCTGTTGGACCAATCCATTGTCAGCTTTGTGCAGTGTGGAGATTCTGCATGGATTCATTTAATAAAGGTTAATTCTGACTAGAAAAAATTATGTACAGTAGCTGGTAAGATAATAATGGGTGTTGTCCCTTTCAGGGAACACACCTGTTTTAAAGTGACTAAGAGTGTAGTCCTTGTAAATACAGTGGAAACCGCAATAAGTTAAGAAATCATTGGCCCTGTGTCAGTGTTCTTGATTAATAAGTAATTGAATCTCTCAACCTGCTTAATATGGGGTTTAAGTTTGATGAAATTAGATCTCTGCGAGCTGATGTCCCTTTTAAGTCAAATAAAAGCTTCATTGCAGGAGTTAGTTTGATGATTTACTCAGATCCTCAAAATATTTTGCTTTGCATTACTAAACCACTTAATTGGTTATCAAAAGTTGGTGAAACTGTTGATTTACAATATATTATGTCAGGATGAAACAACTCTATTAAAAATGGCGCTAGCACAGAGTAAATTCCAAGTATTCTGGTTTTCTTTTACTTCATTGAGAACAAAGACTTGATCACATTAGATTTATCTTTTTGTATACAGTCATGTATTTGAGAACATGGCGAATGCAGTGGGGGAGGTGGATGAATTGGGAATTAGAGATAATTTCTCTATTTTCCACTATGTGTAGTTCCACATCTTTTATTTCCTGCACTATTGTACTATAGCTTATTAAAAGAAATACCTTGCATTTTATATATTCAAGGGTATATTTTACGAGGACCTTGAAGAAAATTGTCTGTCATGAATAATTTCTCTGTGAATGTCAGTCACCTGAGTCCCTAAGCATGGCTGAACACACAACATGTTTAATGAAACTTTAACAGACCCAAAAATTTGTTTGACGTGAGCAAACGTTTATGATTAAATTAAGGATTGTTTCCAGTCCAAAGCCCAGCAAAAACAGTCCTAATGGCTCCAACACACTAAGAAGGATTAAAGAAAATGTGTGCTAAAGCTGACAGTGATGACTGATCAAAACTTCAGTCTTTTTAGCCCTAAGGTAACTGGGTCAGATTTCATCAATGTAAGCCCTAAGGTATAAAATAGAAATTGGACTTGCATGGTGATGCAAGCTGGCTATGAAATTAGGAGGCCTTGGCTCACAAAATATGAAAAGTTGGCATACTCAATGGAAATGATGTTCAAAGCAGTTCACAGTAAGAATGAGGAAAACAGCTTGTGCCACTTTGGAATAATAAACAGCAGTTCTCTTTTTGCAGTACTTATATTTCACACATTGATAATAATTTTGTGGCTTTTCCTAATATTTATTAAAGTAGAAACAAAAATAGAGATCCTTTGAAGTTTCTAAATGTTTAGAAATTTTTTATTATGAAGCATCTGTATGTAAAATATAAAAGGTATTTTTTTTGTGAAGAAATAATAATTTAGGAAAAGATCCAAGTAGCTAAATATATTATATTTTTTTCCAGAAAAAAATCTAATAAGAAAACTAGTATTTGAAAGCAATTTGAGCAAATCATAAATAAAGATATTTTCTTTTTGAAACAGGTTTTTATCATTGCATTTGTTACTGCACAAGAGAAGAGGAGTCTCCTTCTTCTGAGGAGACAGGAGGACAATTTATTGTATCTCAAAAGCATAACAATTAATTCTTCACATTAAATACTAGGTTTTCAACTCAGAAAGAGGATCAGAATTTGAAATACATCAGGAGGGAGCATTACCTGGTGAGAATATCTGAGCTGTGAGCACACCATGTTAGTTCTAATTTTACTTTTCAGAATAGAAAATAGAATAGAATATCTCCTCTTGAGATATGGCAGGGATCTCTAACTGGTTAAAAAGAAGTCTAATATCTTACCTCCTTCCCCATGCTCTGGATGTCAGCCCAGGAGCCCCAGTGCTTATCAGAATAATCAGCATAATCAGCTGTCACAGTTCAACAAAATACCCATCCCAAGTCTCTGTGCTACAGCTCCTGCTCAGGAACACTGGGATCCCAAGGGCCAACACTTAATCCTGCAGGCTACCAGGTAAAACTCTGAGTGGTACATGTGGAAGGAATAAGGCCTTCTTCAGCAATGTATGTGAAAGTCATATTTTTCAGGTGCTCTGCTGTGTGTTGCTGGAGGCCCTCTAAAGACAGCAGGTACAAAGGATACATGATGCACTATTAAGTGGGCTGTGACCTTTTGTTTCTTCTGAACTCTTTCAACATGATGTGAACTGCCAACTTTTTTTCCCCTCTTTATTTTTGCCTGTTGATCTTTTGAGTAAAAATCCAAATTAAGGCTGTTTAGTTTGTAATGTGTCTCTAAAGAGGGGAAAAAGGATGACAAAGGATGCTAATTTAGAAAGACACAAGTGAAAAGTGGTGATGAGAAACTGTCACAAGCCCACTATGAAATAAAACATGCCTTCAAAGCAGTGATGGGCCAGTGAATTACACTCCTATCTAAGACATCTTGAAAACACACTGGATACATGGGGGTGCAGCAGGACAGGGAGTAGAATACGCTGCAGTAGTGGTTGCGGCAGGAGCTGGAGCCTGGTTTTTTGACTGCTGTTATGCCTTACACTACCCTGAAAGAAATACTTCCCTTTCCTATATACCCTGTGCTCCTCCACTGCTCCAAAGCTGCCAGCTGCAGCAGGCTTGTGTATTTAGCAGCTAAAGCATGAATAAATCAAGCCATGCCTTGTGGCTGGGAATATCGATTTAGTTGTTAAAGGTTGCATGTGGGAAGAAGGTATTGAACTGGAAATATCAGGAAGGACTGTGCTGTTAAGGTATATCACCTAAAATGTGAGCTAGCAGGGGGTTGGAGAGCAGTCCATCTTGGAAAGGAAAGGCAGCAGGCTGGATTTACCTGAAAAATCCTGACCAAAAATTAATTTAATGCCATGGATTTTGATTCTGAACCTCAATAATCTGTGTGTGCTTCCTGTTAAAATGTAATTATTTTTGGTTAAACTTATTGTCTGCTTCCTATTTTGGAAGTCAGTCTCCTAAAAATGTGCCATTTCTTGAAATAAATTTAGGATTTTTCCAGTGATGGAAATGTGGTTATTTCCAGGGACTTCTGCCTAGAAAAAACATTGGCATAGAACTGCAAGAACAGACCTCTCAGGCACGTTTTCTCTCTTTCACACACAGAACATATCTTTATATTGCAGTATGTATTTACATGCAAATGCATCCAGACCTATATAAGAAATTTAGGAGGTGATTTAGGAAGTCAGCAAAATGATAAGCAAGCATAGCTTTCCTGAACAGTAGTTGTACAGAACATGGTAATGTGTTCATGAGAGATGTAATTAGGAAAAAGGAACAGAGCACAAGCACTGTATTTATGGCAATACAAACAGAAATAAAATAAGTAAGAACATTAAGATTCAACTGAAATGTGTAAAGGCACTGTGAAGTGGAGGCGTGTTCAGGCAGTGGCGTGATTTCTGTGGGAAGGAGTGCTCTCGCTGAAGTGAGTTCAGAATACACTGGAAAAAAATACTGGAATTATGCGTAATCACACTTTGAGAGAATGTAGAGAGAAATAACACTGCTTCTATTTCTTTTGAGAAACAACAGGACAAAACAAAATACAGAGAGCACCAATTTTCCTAAAAAAATTCTATACAGTACTTTGAGTCAAAAATGTGGGAAGACATTACTCATCAGCATTTCTATTGTTTTATTGATAGAGTGTCCTGTTCTGCTTTGATATATACATGTTTGATTTAGATAATGATTGGTTAAGTGTAATGATGATAATCTGATGCTAATTTTAAATGGTTAAGTGTGAAGTTCACCAGTGGAAATTGGTGGTCAACCTGCGATAACCTAGTATTGGTTATAATAAATTATAATAAACTAAAATAACCTAATATTGGTTATTTGCATATATTCATGCAAGATGTTTTGTTGAAATCACTCCTTATATTAATGGAATAGCAAAATTAAAGTAATAGTTTTCATTTGTATTTTATGTGGGAGTCTGCCTCCTCACACTTCCCCAAAAAAACACTGAGAAGCTCTAAGAGTTTCAGCCTGACTTGAGGGCTGGGAGGTTGTCTTCATCTGTCAGTGAGTAAAGAGAAAGGACAGACAGAATACTGGTGCTGAATGTCAGCCTGGGGTTTAAGCATGGATATCAGCTAGGATTTTGTTTTTTGGAGGGGTTTTTGATGTATTCTATCTGGCTCTTTTTTTTTTTTTTTTTTTTTTTTTAATTGCCATTAGCCACCTGGCAAAGGCTTTTAAAGGGTTCAGCCGAAGTTGAAGCAATAGAACCAATGTACACAGTAGTTAATGAAATTGGCCAAAGTACTTTTGGCTCCAGCTTTAGGGAAAAGCCTTATTAAGATTTTCCAATTTGCTTTCAATGATCTGAAAATTAATAGCAGCACACTATTCCAATATAGAATAAGATATTTTATCAGAAAATTTCAAGTTGACCTCTGTAAATCTGAATTGACCTCTGTCTATGAAAAAAAAATCTATTTTCAGTGTGCTGTGATAGCAAAAATACTATTAAAACAATAATTTATATAATGGATCTTTAAGAGTGAATAGAGTTTTACTGGACTTTTACAAAATTACCAGCATGTACTTTTAAAAAGATTTATATGGCTGAACCTCATTTACATTGGGTTTTAGTGGAACAGTAAACTGCAGCAGAAATTAGAGGAGTATTAAATATTTAAATATCATATTCGTTATGTCTCCATGCTGTATTATACCATCATACATTGCTTATTCTTGTTAATATTTTAGTTTCCAAATCAAAGCATAATTGAAGAGTAGAATTATATTTTAAGAAAATTATTTTTCTTAGAAATTCAAGGAGACTATTGAAATGTTTTTCGTCAGTAGGATCAGTTTTTAAATGGAGGAAGAACCCAGACTTCAGTACACTCACAGAGGTATGTGCTTTGATGTATTTTTTCCCAAAACATACTCTTACATATAGTTTTAGGTCATTTGGGCAGAAATTTGAAAATAGGCACCAAAGATTGTTTTTTCCCTCCTAAGAACTCAATTCAGCCAAAGCATTCAGGCTGGAGTAGATCTGTAGAACACTGGGTTTCTCCCTGTGCATTTAGAGTGGTTAATCTTGTCCGTAAGCTTAGCCTTCCAGTATAATTTTGCAGTAGCTTTTTCATCTTTGACAAATATCTGATACAGCTCTATACTATATTCAGTTTTACAGGAAAGTCTCCAGGCTTGTGCTTAACTCTATGCAAAATGTGTGGGGCTTTTTTTTCCTGACTAAAAGCTAGTATTTGTTGACATTGTTCAGGCCATTTCCAGACATCTCATATTTGTATCCTGAGTTTGAATCAACATTATTTCCCTTTCTAAATTTCTTTAAAATTATATGATACTGTATAACAAGTAGGGCTCAGAAATCTGAAGCCTGCTAATGAATGTGTATGTACTTTTAGCCTATTAGACCTCACCTTTTATTTCTACTCTATTTGTTAATATGAAATTTGCTATTGAAGGTTAATTGAAAGAGGTGATAAAGTCAAGAGCTAGAAACATATAAATCTAAAATACTTCAGCATGAAAATATTAAATGTAATGGCATATTAACCAAAACATCAGGATTGATAAGGAAATGAATGATATAATGAGTTCCTTTCTTATTTATTTCATTTAGTAAATTTAAAAATCCTGTTTGTTGATGTTTCATTTAAGTCCTGGCTCTCATCTCTTTGTGTATTGCTGTGCATGTGCTCCTAGGAATACCACAGTGCTTTAGCAGCAGAGGAACTAAATAGCTCACACTAGAATGCTGGACATTATTATCTGGATTTGTATAAAGCTGGCTTAGCAAAAAAATATTTTGTGATAGGGCTATAGCTATGACATCTGTTTTCAATCTGCTCATTGACACAAGTTAAATATTGATAGCCTTACTAAAATATCAACTACATTATTACTAGGGGGATGTTGCAAATTAGGTAGGAAGCTACCATTAAAAGATTTGGTTGGGAGTTGGAAGATATGAATAAATTTAAAGCAATTCATAAATTTAGAACAATTTTTTCCTTACACTTCATGTGTAAATCCTTTAATTTTTTTTTTTGTTTTGTTTCTTTGGTTGGAAGAATTTAATAATTTTTATATAATAATTGTGAAAAATAAGATTCTGGTTCTAACAGGCTAGATGTAGATTTTCTGTGAGCATGCCCATAGAAAAATATTCTTATTAGCCATTATTATGTCATGAAAGAAGGGCTCTGTTCTTGAACAGTTTCTTGCAGCAGAGGTCAGAGCTGCAGTAGCTTTAAAAACTGCTAAACCCTTATGTATTTTTGTAGTAAAGTTGATGTGTGAATTCAAATGTTTGCAAACTGACTTTCCAAGCCCTACCTAGCCTAAGCAGAGCTATTGTACATGTTTTGATGTTCTACTAAAGTATTGCAAAAATCCAAAATTACATTTACTGCTTTCCTAACTGTCATTTGGCTCTTATATCTCTGCTATAGCTGATTACAACCCAAAGATTTCTGAACCTGGCTGCCTAAGCCCCAAATGAAAACTGCTGTTAGTTGGTTTCATGATGATCTAGGCTTTTAGGTCTTTACCTTTGGCCATGCACTTGCCTCTCAATTTGAATTATCCTCCTGTGATTTCCCTTTCAAAATCGGTACACTTCCACAAAAAAAGCTGTGTTTTGAAGAATTAGAATTTATTGACGTTTGACCAAAAATTCCAGACAAGTTCTAACCTTTTTCCAGACCCACCCATTTTCTACTGATTATAGCTTGCCTAAAATCACACTACAAATATGTGAAGGAGGACATGCCTGCACTGGCACATAGAGGCAGGTCTGAGCTCCCTTGGGTTGTGTTAACCTGAAAGAGCCAGGGAATGACTGGGCAGAGACACCTATGCAAGTTCAATTAAATTCAAACAACCTTAGAGCAGCACTTTCACACAGGCTAATCTAGCCAGCTGAGAACTCACTGTTAGCTCATTGTGTTCACAGCACCGTGTAGAATGTGATCAATCCACATTCACCATCCTCTGTTTATGAAGTCAGCTCCTCCCAACAAACATCCCTTCAAAATGGCCCTTTTCTTCCATCCGTTCCAAGGAGGCACCAAACCAGTGGAGAATGGTATTCTCTCTTATCTCTATGTGACTCTGTATGTGGAACACTGGAAATGAGTGATTGTTTTCATTAATTGAATTTGCTTAAACTAATTATATCCCCACTGATCTTAGCTGGTAGGTAAGGAGAGGTACAGGGTAATTATACAAAACATCTACAGGAAATCCAAAGCATGAGGGGTTCTGAGGCTGAATTGTGCAGATACTGGCTACAGTGTCCATTTATCACGGCACTTTGGCTGGAGCTCAGATATCAGAAAGCTCAGACAAAAGCACAGCACGTTGTTGCGTTAATAATGGAGGCTAGGATTTCTTACATACTGGCTCCAGCCTCCCTGAGTATAAATCCAAGTCTGAATAATAAAAAAGTAATATAACTAGCAAGTGGCAGGTAGAGCTGCAGCATGAATGAAGCCCAATTTCCTATGGACTGGTGCCTTGTGGTCTTTTGGCCTTGATGGTTAATGTATGAAAATCCTGTGGCTTTTCTGAATATTTATAAGTGCTGGCATGCAGATCCTTAGGTATAATGAAAATTGTGATCTCCTTCTGCAGCCTTTTCTTCAGACACAAACTTACAGGGTCTGATCTCAATCCTCAGTTTTATATTTCTACAGAATGTATGGAAACATAATCATCTTTGAGATCAAGATCCTTTTGTATCATTTCCACTGAAATCAGACTGTGAGTTCCAAAGCCATTTAGGAAGCACACATGGGGATATGTATGGAGTGTACTCAGACAGTGTTTGACAGCAGAGCAAACTATGGCAGAAACAGCAATATTTTTCTCAACTGTCATTAGTGAAAAGTTCGAGTATATTTTTCATAATTCTGGATGTCTGTAGGGGAAAATTTATTTCTTAAAAAATTATGCTTTGAGAAGTTTGGACTAAATCTTGATTTGTGCCTTAGGAAATAATGCCAAATAAACTAGCTGTCTTGGAACTTTCAAGACACAGAAATAGGATGATGGACAATAAAGCAGAAGATTGCAAGACTATAAACGTACAAAATTTAGATTGGTTTTGAAGCTTCAATTTAGCACTAACCTACAACACAATTGTCTGAAATTCATAAGAAATGCTGTGCCTTTCTTGTACGGTAACCTTGTCTCTTCTTTCAAACAATAATTTGGAAGTCAGTTCTTAATATTTTATAATTTTTGTGACTTTTAAACCTTCCAAAGTAAATCCAGATACTTTGGCTAACTTTTAAAGATCAAGGAAGTAACTTTTTAGGGGAAAGTAATAAATATCTCTGATTGTGTTTTTAACATTGATTTAGTACTGATTAAAACAGAAAACCTAGTTTTTCTCTGAGATATGTCTGTGATGCATATAAATTATGGTTTGAAAAATATAAGTTATCAGAGCCTTTAGCACCAGTAAAATATTTTTCTTGGCAGACATCAATTTCAATGAAATTTGAACCTCAGTTTATGCAAAGTTCTCATAAGAAATTATTGCATTCATCTGTATAAGGCTGAAAAAAATCAGACCAGCAATGACCTGTGCAAAGTGTGGAGAAGTCTGGAGAATGAGCCCATGGAAATGGCACTGATTACCTGCTCCTTACTGCCTCTGCACAGCTGCTCACGTCTAACACAGCTCACTTTTCCTCTGCTTTAGAATGTGACCACACAACAGCCCTTTCTCCCTGCTGATGTTGTCTCGTGATGCTGCTCCTCTGATTTCTGCAGATTTATGGAGAAATCTGCCAAGAGAGAGCTGAGTTATGAGGCAGTATATTTATTTCTCAGGGGAGTTACCTCATTAGGAACTCTCTTTGCATTTGCCAATTCAATGCACGTTCATTCATTGGCCAGCGAGCAGGCACTTACACGTGTACCTGCACATGCATATGCACAGAGGAACAGTAGCTTTGGATCTGCATCCTAGAAGCAAAAAGACCATATTTCAAACTGAGTAGCCTCTGCATTTGGGAATTAAATGGCTGTTTTTTACAGCTGAACCTAGTACTGAGATATTTGCATCTCATTTACCATACTCTTGAGGTATGGAAGAGAGAAGTGGGAGTTTCTGAAGGGAGCAAGGGAATATGTACACTAACTGCCAGCAGCAATAGAAAAAAAAAAAAAGCTATATTTTTTAAAAGAAAGAAGTGTTCTTTATGTCTGGTGTTTTTTCTTTGGCAGTATGACTTATATCTGTTTTAATTTCTGACATCCTCGCCCTTTTGATTTGACCTCAATGTTCAACCAATCCATATTCCAAGACTTACAATCTAGTAACTATTAAATTCAGGAGTGTAAAAGAAACCTGTTAAAACCCATAAACAGAAATTAGTGATTTCCAGATTAGTATGCTACATCTGTTTTAACTTCCAGCTATGGACAGTATTATCTTGCGGCCTTGATGAACAGTAGAGGATACTGAGGAATATGTGGAAATCAATTTTCTATGCCACAGGGTACTTCTGGAAAGCTGCAAAAACTTATGAGGTCTCAGATGCATCTACAAGCTCTATCAGCAACTCTTTTTTTTTCTGTTGCAATTTTCAGATCTTACTGGAATATCTGAAATGAATGATGGTAAACTGATAATCACAGATAAGGTGCTTTGTTACTCTATATCAAGGTACAAAAGAACTCTTTGAAGTTCTTTAAGCATGTCCAGATAAAAAAACTATGAAACATATCTGTACACTGATGTTGTGTAGCGGTGACTTTTTCTGATTGCCTTTGGAGCTGCCCAAATTATAATACATTTTCTGTGCTGCCTCGAGCTACTGCTACTCTTATCTAAAAACCCTCTCAATTTCCATGTTATTGTCTCTTCTGAGTAATAGGATTTGCAAATGTATCTCAATTACTTAGATTGTTAAGCCCTTTAAATAGTTTTGAAAAAGTTATCTAAATAAATTCAATTTCCTAAGGGTGTATATGAGAAAGACCTGTAGAAACCAAACAAAAAAAGATGATCAGTGGTAGGAAAACTTCTCCTGTGGAGTCAGGCTGAGAAGAGACAGCTCCAGGGTTACTTTAGGGCACTTTCAAGTACTGAAAGGGGCCTACAAGAGAGCTTTTTACAAGGGCATGTAGTGAGAGGACTGTTCATCTTGACGGTTTTTCTAAAATATACTCTATTGTTTTAATGCTGAAAGTCTCCATCAACCCACGCTAACCTTTTAAAAATAATCCTGCTAAAGAAAACAGATGGAAGTTTTTCTCACCAGGCTCGCTAATTAAGTGAAATAATTGCTTTCAGTTTTGTCTTGCTGACTGTTTTTAACAGTTAAGTGACATATCATCAAGTGTGGCCCATTGAAGTGTGTTACTTTCATTCTTTAGCAAGTACTCTTAGGACATGCCACTGCTGCCAGTAATATCCTATATATCTATGAGAACTGGTGAGTGTAGTTTCTTCTTGAAAGACTTAAAATACAATTCTTATGTATAATTGTAAAGCATATTCCTAAAAAAGTGCTTATCTGGCAAAGAGACATATGAATATTTCCTCCACAATGATGTGTGGAAGAAATACAAAACATATGTTAAATATATGGGTTTTTTTTTTCTTTATGGCTGAATGCATACAAATTAAAATTGTACTGATGCTTTTATATATTCCTGACTCATATTGAGTTGAATTTAAGCAAAATTTGTCATGTATTTGTACAGTAATATTCATGCTGCAGAACAAAATATATTTCCCAAAGTTTCATACCTTGTATCTGGCCTTTAAGTGTCCTTTCTTGAATTCTCACATTTATTTAATCTTTTACAGTTCTCTAAGGCAGAAGAAAAATTATTGAACAACAATTCCATGCAATCCAAGATACTTTACCAGAGGGGATGCAATGCTGGATCTGATGGTCACCAACATAAGGGAGCAAATGAGGTACTTCAAGTCTGAAGGCAACCTGGTGGAGTTGGTGGAGTTTTCAGTCCTAAAGGATATGAGTTGGGTAAGGATTAGAGTTTGCACCTGAACTTTAGGAAAGCAAACTTTAACTAGCTTTTTAAGGAGATAGTCAGTCAGATCCCCTGAGAGACTGCCTTCAGGGACAAGGGAGTGCAATGGAGCTGGCAGATACATAAGGATGTCTTCAGTAAAGTGCAAGAAGTCGCAGTTCTGAGGACCAAGAAATTGGGCAAGGAAGGCAAGAGACTGGAATGGCTGAGTAGGGAACTGCTGGTCAGAGTGAAGGGAATGAAGCAAATGCACAAGCCGAGGACAGGTGGCCTGGGAAGGGCATAGAGTATGGTTCTGTACTCAGAAAGAATAGCAGGAAGTGCTTCTACAGGTATGTAAAACAGAAGAAGAATGTCAAAGAAGGCATGCCCTCCTGATAAATGGAACTGGCAAACTGATAAAAATGGAGAAGGTTGAGGTACTCAACAACTTTTTTGACTGAGTCTTCAATGGCAGCTTCTCTCCCCACATCTTTTGAGTGGATGGGTGGCAGGATGGGGGAGCAATGTCCCTCCCACTGTAAGAAAAGATCAGGTTCATGACCACCTGAGAAACCTGAATGTATGTATGTCTATGGAGTCCAATGAGATGCATTCCAGAGTCCTGAGGAAGTTGGCTGCCATTTACCTGAGCAGTGTTAGCTGCAGGCAGTGAATAACAGCTCCCAGAATGACATACCTATTTGAATCAAAAAGACTGCTCATCACACTAAGAGGAGTGTTATTTTTTGACCTGGGACTCCTGCTAGACTTTTGCAATCTCTGCAAAGACAGACATTACAGCCTCTGCAGCAAAGCAGTCTTAAACACAGCAGTTTCAAATTCTGCCTCCTCTGATATCTGTGGCAAAAATCCCAATGGAGACAAGATTTCACCATGTTTATTCAGGCTCAAAGGTATTTCTTGATGTTTATGAGATCCCATTATGCAAACAGAATACTATAAAAGTTCCTTTGACAGCAATTTCCTGTCCACTGGCATAAAAGCAGATCTGGTTTGGCCCAATTATTAGCACCTGGAACAAGTCAGGGTTGCACCCACTGGTTCCAGCACTAGAGAGACAAAACATGTATAACAACCATTTTACCACCTCTCCTAGTCCTGTGTTCCATAAGGTAGATCTCAGCAGACACAGAGAACTGCATAATTTCTTCCAAAATGTACTTAAACATTAATAAATTACTTCTCCAATATGCTGTGTGTTGTCTATAGAATTAATGTGAATGTGAGGTGTTGGAAGGTTTTATTAACACTCATTTAGGATGACCTTACATTGTTCACAGTTGGCAAAACCACAGGTGAGTCACCACAACACATGGCCATCCTAAATGTACACCAAGAAAGTCTTCGTGCTGCACTGCTCCAGGAAGGCCACTGAGTCATCAGTGAGGCACTTATTAAGTAGTTGACAAGAGTTATTCTCTTCTGGAGTGTAACCCTGGCTCATTATGGCATACCACAGGAAAAAAAAATGACACTTGCTTTTGTTTCTATAATGTGAAGATAAAGATATTTGAGTCTAATCAACAAATTTGGGACAGGCCAGCTGTAGCTAGATCTTAGATAGTGAGAACATCCTGTGACAAAAATCTTATCTATTCACCTCCATGTTTGATATTACTTGTGATTTTCTCTTGCTCTTCTTTCCTACATATGTAGGGCTTCTTTCATACTCTTTTCATTTCAGTTATTTCTGATTTTCTCACTTTTGCAATGTTCCCTGTAAATTCCCATATGAAAATCTTGTTTGGACTGGTAAGTTTTGTAACAATGACAGTATTTTAATTTCAATTGCAGTTTAATCCAGAATACTTTACTTCATAGAAATAAGACACTTTTCAAAAGCAGACACCTCTGGGAATAAGAACAGGTGACAGTATAATGATAAAGATGCTAGACAGTAGCAAAGAAGAAACCATTATTGTTAAAAAAGTTGTCACTAGACTGTTAATACTCATGCAAAAATTTACAAAATATATTTATTTTGTTACCTTTTTTTAATGATGCTGCCATTCTACAAGATTTAATCACAATTGCATTCACAATATTGAATTTATTCCCCCGATGAGTATTTGGAGTGCCTGAATCAGTGAGAGTATTTGATTCTGTGGTGCCAGAGAGTCTAAGCTTGCTGTATTAGGATAATCCATCCCTGATTTCTTCTTGCTTTTTAATGGAGTGACTCTGTTTAGATTTACTTAGAAATTCCTATCTCTCACGCCAGAACATTTGGCAGCCACTTGGATGATTTACTTAGTTGTGAATTTACTATCTTGCTTTTAATCCCAGTCAAATGATCCACCTGCCTGATATTCACTTCCCTGTTACTTTCTCTAATAAATCTCAGAAACAGGATTGTTATACAGGTTTGTGTGTTATGGTGATTTATTTTTCCTAAAGTCTGATAATGTGTATTTTTTTATATCTTTGCAAATAATTTTGTTCAAATAATATGCAAAACCAGTCATACTCTGCCATTATAACTGCTATAGAGCATGAGATATCCATAGAGTGACCAAAGAACTCACATAACTTAGCAGTAAGTTAAACATCTATTGAGTTATTATTTAATCAGATGGGCATAAGCCCACATTTCAGGAGGAGAGATAGCATGCTCCAAATCACAGTATTCTAGAGCAGTTAGAGCTCTGCTGATCATCAGGGCATTGAAGCATATCCATGCCTAGAGAGAGGAAAGATTCTCTCCTCAGAATGTCAGAGATACAAAATGAGTGTATCACTGTTCAGGACTGAAGCAGAATACTTCAGAATGGAGCATCATCTCCCTAAGGATCTTGCCAGGGTCTTGCCTGTGTAGCATTTATCTTAGGGTACAAGATTTTTTAATAAAAATATTCCTTTGTGTATGTTTTTGTTATTTTCAAAAGAACTAGCACCCTGGATTAAGTAAAGTGCCTCAGAATGGTATTCGTGGCAAACAGTAAGTTGAATGGATGTAGTCTAGTAGCTAAACTGGAAGCAAGAAGAGATTTCTGCATCCAGGTTGCTTGGCATGTAGTTGTTAATTTTGAAGGAGATGCAAATCTATTACAAAGCTTTGGAACTATACAATTAGGTGATGAGATATTTTTTTCACAAAAGTTCAGCAGTGGAGATATTTACTAGAATGAAAGTGATTTTGTTTCAATCACCTTATGTTTGACTTAGAATGGCTTAGAAAGGCTTGAAGTTATTTCTGTCATGTCTTAAGAAATGTCAGGTAAAGTAGGCAATCTGGGAGTATTATTTCCCAGTCTCTCAGATTAGAATAGCTAGATATTGTAGAAATAAATGCTAATTTCAGGAGTCACACAAACCTCTCTTTTCCTTGACGTTAAGTGTCATGGTTATGAAAGTAAAGAACCATTTTCTCCTATTTGATGGTGTGGGTGTTTCTGTCTGTACATGTCTGTCTCCTGCCATCATTCAATTACTGTTTTAGTTTGGGCAGAGGAGTGACAGAAAGTGTTGGATGAGCACTAAATCACAGAATTTTTGTGTAAAATAAGAAACAAAGTCTCTCCTAAAATTAGTTTCATCTCAAGCCTTTTTATGGAGGTCTCACTGGTTGAGTATGCTTTCAGAGTGTCCTAAGAACTCCAAAGAACAGATTGGATTGATTCACACCAGCAACATCAGAATTTGAGAAATTCAAATATGTGATGACATAGGGAGCAAATACTACTTTAGACAAGTGCACCAATTTTGAATGACAGGGAAACAAAGTATTTGTTCTGCAGAGTACCTGTGCTTCAAACCTTCTGACAGGAATGCAATTTTTAAGTCAGAGGGGATGGCTTTTTCACTGCCTTCTACACAGATACACTGCTGTTAGTTTACTGGTAACTGTTTTAATCACAGTAGGTGGCTAACCTTGGACTATTTCATGTTATTTTTTCCAGTATTACTTCATAAAGCAATAGAATTTGGTAATAGGTAAGGAAAGAGAATGTGGCACATGTATTACAGGAAAGAGCACTTAAAATGCAAGATGCAGTTTTCAAAATACTTAAACAGTAACATTTTCACACTTTTTTATTAACATCAGGGAGATTTTTCAGCTTATTCATTAGGATTTTTTTTCTTTAAATAGAGATCTTATTATTGCAATTAATTTCATTTTTTTCTCTGATGTTATTCATGAATAAATATGGTTGTTAGTTGGAATCCAGAACAACCTAATGTGTAAACTAATGGGAGTAAAATATATTCTGCAATGAGCACATCTCACATCCAGTCAGATGATGACAGCAATACTTCTATTGTAATCCAGATTGTCTGTGCTTTTATCTTTTAACCTTTGTTTCTTTTACTTTTCTGTACTCATGACAAAGTTGGCAGCAAAGTTTGTGTCTTCAAAGGAGCCCCTTTGATTTTGAAGTTCAGTCCACTCAGAAATGGATGACACTTTACTGATTTAAAGGCAGAATTTCAAAGTTTTTATAATGAGAAGTTTTATTTTCAAAATACAAGCTTTTTAGTGTGCTCAGAGAATCAAACATCTCCAGGAAAACTGCCGCTTTTTCTTTTTTCCTCTTTCTTTTAGTGGTGCTTTTAGAGACACTAAATTATTTCAGTTCTTTCTGGAGGATTTTGTGTTGAAAAGAAGCCTTTGCTGAGGACAGTGTCATGTTTGCATAACTACATACCATATTTTTCCAATTTGCACCACAAGAGAAGAAATAAAGTTTATAGCATTTATCAGGCTCTGGGTAGAGTGCCAAATCCCAGACAAGGTTTTTCTGAAGTCTGCACGTGCCAGGAAGGTAATGGATAATGGATTGGTCATAAAATGTTGATGCCAGGGGAAAATACTGGCCTGCCATGAAAGTCCCAAAAGGAAAAATGAAAGCTACAGCATAAGAAGTCTATTTCCAAAAAGCAATGAGATCAAGTAAATGAGTGCAGCTGCCAGGCAGCAACATGAGTGACGTTTTTACGGTTGTGAGCCTGTTTTTCTAATTCTGACCTTCCAAAGTGAATAAAACCACACTAATGTTAATTCCTCCCATCAGGCCTGCTGAGGTGCTCTCTCCCAGTGGTGCTGAATGGGAGCCATCAGCAGTGGCCCAAAGATGAGACTTCCCTCAGCAGAGCCACTCACAGGTTGGATAAAACAAAGGAGTCCTATGGAAAAGACAAAATTTATTTTCCCTCCTTCAATAGTTCTGTCATAGAGAGCCTCATGTCTCTTCATGTTCACTGTTTACATGACACAATCACATTTCAGCTTTCATATTTCAGGTATGTTTACCATACCACAAAGACACTGCTGAGCCTCTGCTAAAGTGAAAGGTTGGAGGTAGGTTGTTGTTCTGAGACTTAAAAGAAATAATGGATTTATATCTGATCTGATCCATGACACTTCATTAAGGGAAATTGGAAAGACAGAGACTCCCAAACACAATAGGGTAGTAATTAATTTTTTTTAATTCTAGCTTGGTTCACTGTGATATGATAGTGTATAAGGTGTGAAATTCAGTTCTTTTCTTAACAGAAGAGAGCCAGTATATAACACAGCTGGCTTTAAACAGTACTAAGAGCCAAATTTATATGAAAATGAAAAGTTGTGAAAATCAGAAGTATTTTTTCCTCAAATAATACTTTTTTCTGTCCTTAATTTTGTATATTTCCTAAAATAATGTAAACCACTATTATTTTGGAAATATACAAAATTTAGTCTTTATGGCATTCTACACTTGTTCCAAGCACAGAGGTAGCTTCTTGGTGGGTTTTTTGTTGGTTTTGTTTGTTTGTTTTTGTTTTTGGTGGGCTTTTTTTTGTTTGCTAAAGAGAGAATTAAAAAGATTATTCAGTATTTCACCAGACAGAAAAATCAAAGAAGAAAGAGCAAATTCCATGGGTAAGACCCTATCTGGAATTCAAGACACAAGCTAGATTTGTCATGCTACTGAACACTTCCAATAAATTCCTGAATATATTGCTTGGTTTCTCTTGCACTTTGGCTTGGCTCAGCCTTGCAGGCCATTCTGAGGCAAAGCTGCAATAAAGGCTTTGGAGAGCTCAGCTCTACAGGCACAATGCAGACATCCTCTGTTGAATCTTGCAGGTCTAATAATGTGATGAGGAAAGACCTTGCTTAGGGAACAGATTACAGAGAAAATTTATCATAATCAGGAAGTGTGGGCTACAGAGCTTCTAAAACTCATTAATAGCATGCAAACAGGAGCTCAGGGCTCATAAAAATGAGTTTAATCTATAAATGATGGCTTTTGTCTGTATCTTTTTAGGTGTCCCAGCTGCTATTCAAGCTGATGTTTGCAAAGATCCCTGGATACACAAGTGTCTCCACAACAAGAAGCCAAATAAAGGAGGTGATTGCGTGTTAGTTTTAACAGTGAGGAGTAGCAGAGTTCCTAAATTATGATAGGAAATCATACTTTATTAGCATTTAACCAGATAATGCAGTTATTCTTTGCTGTAAGTGAATCTTGCATATGCTAAAGATGCTGAGTTGAACTCTCTACAATAGGATGTGTAGGGGTCATTCTACTTGTATCCAGAGCAGCTGAAGGAGCTCAGCTCCACCAATTCCTCTCCCTGAGAGGCAGAAAGAAAGGAGGTTTCTTGCTTGCATGCTCACCCTCCTTTGCATGACTATGCAGATAACAATTTGGAAACTATGATTAGTTTACCAGATTAAACTACTTCTTAAAACTCTTCTGGGAACTGTGCTGCTGTGCCTTGTTCTGAGATTTCCAAATAATAAATAATCTAACTTGGTTCTCTGGAAAATTATTCTTTTGTATGTTGTAATCAGTTCTGTCATCTGCCTATATTTATTCCTTGTTAATCCATAGGAGTAAGGATTTGCAGTGAATAGTTTTGTCTCTATCAGGATTAAATTTCTGCTGTATGTTCCTTGTCTTGTTGCTGTTGCTCTTAATTAAAATCTTGCTTCCTTTGTTCTTTTAGTAGATATGAGTATTATCTGTGATTCTTTGATATACTCTAAAATAAAGAAAAAAAATGTCTATAATATTATAATGTAACGCAATTTATTGATAAAATATTAGTAATTTAATTTCCTCCTAACTAAGCAATAGTGGATCAAATTTTCTCTTAGAATGTATGACATTGAATTGATATGAAAAAGAAATGTTGAATGTAAATGATGTATTTTTATGATAATTTGGTACTCACCACAGCCTGACCACAGCCTTAGCTGTACTTGAAACTGTTGCATTACCTTATCTCTTTCCTTTGCCCAAACATCTGCTATTTCATATCCATGTTTTTAAACTAGCAAAACACTCACTACAATCGCTTTTATTTTCTTATGAATCATATTCCTCACAAAAGTAAAATTGAAATATTTTTTGTGTAAAGTCTCAATAGGTATGCAAGAGTTGTTTTTATCTCTCTGAAACTGCTTGACTTCATTTTCAGGGATGATTAAGAACCAGAAATGGTGTAGAAAAAGCACCACAGTTTAAAAAGATGTGAAGGATTACAATGTGTCTCATTTCTCATTTGGTTCAAGCTCAGGTGCCAGAGGTTACTGGTGATTGCTGCTGATTACGGCTGCAGGCTGGGGTAGTTTTTTCCAGCCTAGGTCTGGGAAAGGCTTTTCTTCTGTCCCCTCTTGTATGTTTTTTTTTTTGGATTAGCAGAAGTGAAGACTTGCAGTATCAAAATGTTCGCTGTTGAAAAGACCTAAGTTTGATTTATTGATTTGTATTTGGTAGTGGCGGTGGCAGCCTGTGTTATTCCTAGGAAGTAATGGTAAAAAGGAAGTCAGTGCTGGAGAGACATCCTGAGACTCATAGTAAACCTACCATAGGTAAGAAGAAAGGTAGATCCAGGTTGCACTCAGCAGGTATGTTCTGGAGGAGGTTGACTTCCTACTTGGTCTGTGCAGTGCTCATGTGTTGGCAATACTGTAAAGTGCTGGAATGAGGAGCTGGCTGGGAGAGAGGAATCCTGGCTTTTGCATGTCTCTTCTTTTGGCTTGGAAATACTTTCATATACAGAGTTGTTCTGATGCAAATATTTCTTTTGGTCAATATCATTAAGGGTAAAGGATGCAAATTGAGAAGGAGCATCCCCATACCTGGTACTGCCTGTTTTAACACAGAGCCACTTCTTTGCTCCTGTAGAAGCTGTGTCACTGCTACTAATATGTGTCATGTAATTATATAATTAGGGAAGGTTTTGCCTTGCTTTATTGAATATTGAATTTGCATTCACTAATGGAACTGTACATGTGATCTTTGAGAGCATTACACCTTTTAAAATTTTTTTTCCTACTTGGAGAATCTAATTTGGAAAGAATGAAGCAATAGATAAAATTGCAGCTAAATTAAGTCTGCTAATACTGAAAATTCTACAGAGGAAAATCATTATTATTTTACTCTCTCTTCTCAGGTGTAAATTATATGCTTCACTGGGGATTTTGCTTCTCGGTAAAACTTTTAATAAATCTTTACCAATACTAAAAACCAGAGATGAAAAAGACCCATCCTAATTTATGAGTCTCTGAAATCAGCAAGTAATTTGCTCATTAGATTAGACTTTTTTAATCTATAAAATATATAACTTCTTGCTTGGTATCTCTAGCCAAAAACACTGCACAACATCCCCTCAAGACATAATCACAGGTTTCTTGGCCTTTTGATATATTTCCTTTAATGTCTTTTAAAAGGCATTAAATATGGAATTATCATATTCATGGAAAGTAATGTGAAGTTAAAAAGCACAGGGAATGATTTCTTGAAGCTTTTTTGTTTCTGTGGGCCATGGTGACCCAGCAGAATCTGAGTAGCTGGGAAGTGAAGGCACCTGCTGCAAATTCCTTCCATAATGTAATTTTTTATTTTTTCCAAATCTGCTCTTTGGTTCTCTGCCAGGGGGCTTTCTCAGTCAGTCTGTTTTCATTCAGTTGAGTCCAGACATGTTTATTTCACACATTTTCCATGTTTCAGTTGTTTGTTTTTCTAGACTGCCTGACTACTTGATGTGGGCACATGCTCAAAGACCGGACAATCGGGATTTGTTATCACTTTATGAGGCATTAAATATTAATTAGTGTTGGTGCTTTAGGTTACAGAAGGAAAAAATAATGTCTGGTTGTGAAGAACAATAATGAAGTTTTAGATGGTAAGGAATGGGTTTAGAGATCATGTTGGACTTAATTACTGTGCTTTTTTTAAGTGATAGGGGAGCACATTATACTCAAAATAGCTCACCAAGGCTGCTTGAGTTGTTTTAATTTAGAGAATTAAAAAACTTTTAATGGGAAAGTAGCCTCTCAACAGAAAGAAAAAATGAAAAGCAGTAAATTATTTTTATTTTTTTTGTCTTGTTAAAGTATACAAAACTCTTAGAGAAGTATAGTTCTGTATGTATATCTCCTTGTTTATATTTACACACTTACATGCAGATGTACATGTCATAATGAATTTTAGCAGGTTGTCAAGATTTGGTGGTACGTTTTTTGGTCCTTCTTATAAGTGGCAGAAGCAGCACCCAAAATACAAGGGTACCATAGGGCTTATTTAGAAACTTCTAAGAACTTTCTCAAATGACAATTTTTTGGTCAAATGTTGCATATGTAGGCTTTGGTACAGAAAAATCTTCAGAATCTTCATGCTGTTTAAATAATTGCAGCAGCATGTATGGACCAATCAATAACACATTTTCTTTTCAAGCTTCTAAAAGAATTTTAACAGCAGAAATTGAACTGTCACAACAGTGGTAGATGTTACATCATTGAACTTTGCAATAATTTTCTTTTTGTACTATTATGACATTGGACATTGTGAGCCTCAGCAAGCTCAGTGAGTGAAAATAGAACATCAGGAAAACTAAATTCCAGAGCTGCCAAATCAGGACACAGAAATAATATTAACTCTTGTAGCACTCTACATTGTATAAGTTGTCTGTGTAACACTCAACATGGCAACAACTTTGGTGATTGCTAATTGGAATTGTGTTCAGGCCTCAAAAAAGCAATTAGAACAAACTTGGGGAGAGAGAGGGGATTTTGGAGTACTAGATCACTTCATTTCAGAATTACTAGTTATTATGGCAGTGTTAACTGAGATTTACATTAAAACAATGCAAAAGGCTTTAAAACTTTTGCATTGTTTTAATGGAAATCTAACTGGTTTAAGTGTCACAGGCATTGTAGCCTCTGTTATGTTAGGAGTTACATAGCCTAATGAATTAGAAAAAAAAAGAAGAGAAGAAAATGAAGCATGTCTCTGAGTACAGGCTTCATTGATCTGAGTCCAGTTAATTTGTGTGCAGAATTGAGAGCAGATTTAATGCTGCAGGCCTTCCAATTTGAATTTTAGGACAAGGCTAGACTTCCAAACAGATTCACTGGCAGCCCACTCCAAGAGCAAGAAAAATTCCTATTGCCCCTGGAGATGTTGTAAGAGGCCTCTAGATTTGATTAAAATGCAGAGGTAAACAGGGTAGAACCAACTAACTATGAGGCAGAATAATAGCCTTCAGCTGAATATTCAGAGAAGCTGAAGTATCTTGGCCAGTAAGGTTTTTGACAGTCTTGTTATTCTGTTTATCAACTTTGAATCTGTGTTTTCAAAATCTTGCAAATCACTTGCAAGTGTTATAGTTTTCAGGCAGGGCTCTTTGAAGGTAAGTGACTTTGAATTTCATGATTGCAAACAAATCAACAAACACGATTGCAGTTGCCATAAAAATTTTTCTGAAGATTTAATATGATAGAAAAAGTGACATTACTTTGGATTAAAGGAACATAATGAAAACTATTTGTCATATACTGTTTTAAAAGAGAGACATAAGCAAAACCAATAGAACAATCACACAAGCATTCATTTTCCTATGGGCCATCTACAGTCTATATAAGATGCAAAGAAACTAATATAGGCCTGGAAAAATTCCATGTGCTAGACATTTATAAAGAGAAGCCTTTTACTTTTAGATGAGGTATACTCAATGTCTGAGGAGGATATCAGAAGTGTAAGCAAAAATTTCTGAAAGAAGACCAAGAAATTTGTTACACTGCTTTAGTCATTGGCCTGTCTTATTTGAAATACTTTAGTTTCCATAGAGCCTATAAATTCTTTCTTGAAAGTTCAGTAAAATTTTGTAGCCCTATAAACATCTGAGCTACAAATCAGACTTTGTTCAGAAGTTTGGGTCTGTGACAGGAAGAAAATAATTAAAATGATTCCCTGAGAAGAAAGGGCAGACTGAATATTTTGGCAGAGCCTAAGACATTTTCATTACTGGTATTAAGAGACGAAGGTTCCCCTTGTGGCAAGTATACCTTGGGCTCTCCAGCAAAAGTGACTGACAATGAAATTTATAAGGGAATGAGTCTGGCAAAAACAAAAAGCCAGCATAAAAAGACCCAAAGAAGGGAAGGCAGTAGAAAACATTTGAAATGCAGCTAAATTTGCTTGTAGATACTAAATGACAGTAGAGGAAGTAGGGTTCTCCTTACATCTGAATCTATTTGCCTGGGAAGGGCTGGCAAAAAATACTTTGCAAGTTCCTCACAGAGCTCTGATTGCTGTCACCCCACTCCCCTCACAGATTCTAATGCTGTATTTTACATAACTTGATCTGGGAGCTATAAAGTCTTTTGGAGAAAAGTGGTAAAATTACTTCAGCTGCTGCTGGATTTGGGTTTGCTAGTTTATTCTAAGTTTTGGAGAGTAGTGTTGCTTCTGTCTGTAGACAATTTCAAGTGACCTGATAGAAAAAAATACTGGAGCCAATATGACATGACTGTTAGTGGTTAAAAGAGAGGGATGTGCAAAGTAGCATCATTTGCCATTGAGATACTTTCTAGCTTAGGAGACCTAATGTGATTTAAGGTAAAAATCCTTGCCTTGGGAAGTACTCTGCTTACTGTCATCCTGAAGAAACATCCCTTTCAGTTCTGAGTTCGTCAGCAAAGAACATAAACTCCATCACCCAGTACATGTAGATCACCTTTTATGAGGTTAACAGAGCCAAATTTTCTGAAAGGAAAATGGAAAATATGGCAGATCCTTTTGTAGAGCTACCAGTTCTGGAGCAAGTAGCTGTACGTGCTCTGACTCACACTAAATTGTTGCCCTTCTGCTCCTCCCCACTCACTGCAAAGCCATGATTAAGTGCTAGAAAGAAAGGCTGTGTTTCAAACAGCCGAGGGATGGTGGGAAATAAGTGATCTGTGATTTAATGCAAGTGGGTTCCTGGGTGTGAATGGGTAATGCAGAGATCTCAAAAGTCTGTGGAGAATAACACCAAAAAGAAAAAAATATAAAAAGAAGCAACCGATGGCTGTAAAATAATTTGATGCTTTTGCACACATCACAATTTGAAAACAGCTTTTTCTGAGTCTGGAACGTTCCATGTAGGACAATGGGCATCTTGAATAGCTCAATGCATAGCCTCAAGTGTAGTGTATTTATGCTTATGGTATCTGGGCTACATATCAGTTGGAAGACACATATCTATAAAATCTGACCCTTCATCTGATACAGAAAGAAATCCCATTAAGATGTTGGTTTATTTTCCAGATTAGCTGTTTTGGGCAATTGTACCACATCCAGGAGCTTGGAGGAACTAAAGAGATAGAGCAAATATATATTTCTCAATTTGACAAGTTTGTTCCTTCCATTTTTAATAAAAGTTATCTCAGGAATCTTTCTGTAAAAATCTTTACATTCCTGTGTTCTATGTTTCAACATTTTAGAATGTGATACAGAAGTGTCTGGTGTGGATAACAACCTAGCCTGGTAGTAAGAGTTGCACATCTCAGTGCTGTGCACTGTGGCTAAGGTAATAAAGATTAATTTCATGTTAAGAACACAGCATGCTAAATACCTTTTTCTTTCTTCCCCCCTCCCCCCCCCCATCCTTTTTAAGTTGCTGGAAAACATGACATTTTTCATCCTATTTTTGGGTCAGGACACAAGTGAAGATTTGAAGGATGTGTGAAAGAAATTATCTTTGCATGTAAAAATAGTTGAATGAATACTTTGGCATTAAGATTAAAATTGGAGCATGTTCCATCTTCCTGCATGTTGCCTTCCCCCTCACTTCTTCCTCCTCATTACTTTCTGAATTTGCTTGTCTTCAGGTCACCTGAATTATGATACTATTCCACACAGGACTTTTGGGCAAGGCTGGTATCACAGGCTAAGCTCCTTCAGTAAAATAATACCTGTCATCTTTTTTTCTCTGTAGTAGCTAGCTCAACACAGGTCAGAAAGTATGATAGAGAAATTTTCTTTTTTTTTGTAATTCATAATAGAACCAATAGGATTTTTATAATTTTTCGGTGGGTTGCTTTGTCTCAGAATAGATCTAATCTAGCCTCCACACACACCACCACCCAGCAACTGAAATGGCTTCAAAAGAACTGATAAGGCTAAATTGGCAGTGTAAGTATCTCTTGATGTGACTTCAGAAAAATTTATGTGACCCATAAGTATAAAATGATAAAATCTGTTTCCAGCTGGAAAAGGCAGCCTTTCCATGTGTGAGGTGGGAGAGGAAATGGCATTGAATGTTTTTTAACTGTAGTTTCCTTGAAATCCTTCAGATGCAACATCCCCAGAGACAATTTTGCTGAGAGGAACAAGTATTCAGTGACTTCCTAGGGGAAAAAAAATAAGCCAATGTGTCTGTCTTTGAGAAGTTATATTGCAGTGCATATACTGTGTTTTCAAATTGCCTTCCAGGGCAGTATTATGAAAAATTTAAAATATTTTTGTTCTATCTTCAGTAAATATGATTGCCGAAGATATTAAACTCCAAAGGATGTTAGTAATCAGTAGAAAAGATACATTTAAGGCCAAAGAAAATTTGTTTTTCCTTTGTTCATATTTTTCTCACTTAAAATGTAAGTTTTGTGGATCATCTGGAACAAAACTATTCCCCACTTGAGGCCATTTAAATTAATTATCACAAAGCCTTATTTTTGCAAATATTTATTTTTTCTTTTCTTCACAGAAAGATAATTAGATAAAAAAAGTAAAAGGGCACCAAATGGCAGAAGTGATCGTATTTTCTGCAACACTGCTAAAAGTCAAGGTGGTATATCCTCATTTTTGCCTACAGAAATAAGCATTTGTCTTTCGGCAAATATATCTATAAATTCACTTTCTCATGTGTCACCAGCAGTTTCACCAGATTGCTTCACGTCAGCCAAGGCATTGAGAATCCTAGGGACACAGGGTGAAAAAATGAGCCAACCATTCCAGAAACTGGAGAAGATGGGATCATGATATTTGTTGAGAAGCAGTTTTTAGAGGGAATATTCCAAAGCCCCTGTTTTTGTCTTATTTTGTTTATTTGGTATTTGAGAGACTCATCCTCTCAGACTCTATCACTTGCAAAGCACTGCTGATGGGTTCCAAAACGCAGCAGCGGGTGAGGCGAGGCAGACTGTGCCAGCTGGTGAGAGGTTTGGTGAAGCCCTGGACTGTCCAGAGGCATCGTTCTTATGCTGCAGCTCTGTGTGAAGTGCACTGGTCTCTGAAATGTGCAGTTGCTCCAAACAAGCTCTGGATTTCTTGCAAGGCTGTTCCTGGGGCTGCCCAGGGGTGTGTGTCTGCGATGGGTGTGTTGCTGTGGGAACTAATGGAGTTTGAAAGTCAGCAGTAAGATTTCCTTCTACTTTGATTCCCTGGAGAGAACAAGCAAGTCCTTTTCAAATGCAAATCTTCAGTGTGCAGCATTAGTAGAGGGAATAAAGATGGGAAGGAGAATAAATCTATATTAAGCTCCAGGCTTTTTCAAATTGCTTGTGCTACTGGTGCCCTTTTTTAATCTTTCTTTTTTCATTTCTGCAGAGCTTTACCTTGCAGCTCTGCTATGCTAAAATCAGTCGGATGTTTGGGAGTGATTTTTCTTCTCTGTGTGCAGGAAGTTGGCGGTTTTAGTGGGAGCCTACATTTTTCTCTCCACACCGATGGGGAAGTAGAAAGCTTCCTGCTCCCCCAAATTGATCATGTGCAATTTTTGACCTTTTCCAGTAATGCACATTGTGGGTTTTTTCTGTTTGTTGATTGGTTTTTTGTAGGGTTTTGTGGTTTTTCCCCAAACATAAAGAGAAGCACAGGATGTGGCATGAATCCTGCCAGTGTCAGTTCATAGCTCTCTTCTAACTGGACTCGGGGAGTTACCATTGCCCTTTTTCCCTTCTTTCTTTCTGCCTGTGACAGCCCCCACCTTATGGTTTCATCATTGCCTAATACTGGATTGCAGAGAATTAATTTTAGATTTCCTTTTTGACTCGCAGAAATACTTTGTTCTGCAACTTGTCATCAGTGCTAAGCTACTAATTACAAAATACATTCTTTCAACATTCCCAAACTATTTATTTCCTCAAAAGCCTGCAAAGTGTACAGCAACTTTCCTGCAAGGACGTACAGAAGCCTATAATTTGGGAACCAAACTATGTTCAATGGATGTTTAATCAAAAGTTGAAACTAAAAGATGATTGTTGTTACTTGCAAAAAGATGTCTGCTTGATGGTTTGAAAGCTGCCTTCTCCCTGAAAGGCTTGCAATTTACATGCTTTAGGAAAAACTCTTAATAGCTAGGCCAAGATTGATGTTGCAGTTGGAGAGAAAGTATTTCAAGTGTTACTTCTGTGTTCCCTTAACCTGGGACTGGCTGTCCAGTGAGTTCCTTTGAATAAATGAGCCTTTAGTGCTCTCTATTTCTGCCGCCAGTGCCACTATGGGTCCTTGAACTGGAGTCATGGGATAGGGCAGTAACGGGTAACAGTGCAAGAGAGGGCAGAGTTGCTGGGAGGTGTGATACCATTGAATGCTAGAGAATCCTGCCTGAGGGCAGATACAGTTCTATAACTCCTCCCTGAGTCACCCAAAAGCTCTCTGAATAACCCCAGAAATTACCTGGATAAGTTAAAGGAGGAACAAATATTGTCTGTCTTGAAGATGGGGTGGTTTTGATGTATCTATTCAAATGAATGATCAATGAATCAAAACAGAAATTTTACTTATTCAGTAATCATTATCAAGGCTATTCAGCTGTCTTAATCTCGGGGTGCTATCAGGATTTCACTGCTGTAGTCCCATTGACTTCCATGGCATGACTTCTGCTTCTCAGGGCAGCAGAAAAAGTACCTGGACTCATGTTTTCAAAGTTTCTTTTAATTCCAGTTACTAAGTAGGTTATGGCTTTTGCTTACCATGTGTTTCCCATAAAAGCCCTGGCTGCCTTGAGTGCTATATGATAGGTTGTCTGGAAGCTGCAGACAAAGTGCATGCACTATGCTAGAAAGTCTTTCTGAAATATTTTGTGTACAGTAGCTGGGGCTGCCACATGCTGCTTGTGCTACAGGGTGTGTGTGTGGTCACAGCTACAGTGTTCATGCTGCAGCATTCTCCAGAAAAATACTCAATGATGAAAGGGCTTCAGTGCATACAGGATGAAGTAAAAAAAAAAAAAAAGGTTAAATATAAATCTGTGCAACATCTAAGGAGAGGAAAAAGAGACTGGTTTGGTGGACAGTGGCAGGGAAGGGAGAACTAAAAGCACATGTCAAAACAAATACATTGAAAATACAAGAAATATTTTCCCTTTGAGATCTATCTTTTGTAACAGAAACCGAGATTGAGAGTTAAAAGAAAACTAATCTCTGTGTTATGTCAATGTAGAATAGCATGATCTTCAGCTTGTAGAAGGGAGGGTAAAGGGTGATCACCCAAAACCAGCACTTTACTGAGCTATTTTATTAAATGTACTGTTTGGCACATGGCAATACAAACTACCAGGATTCTCATGCTGGGAAGGGTTGTTTTGGGATTTATATTGCCACTTTGCCAATGGTTATAAAGTTCCAAGTCTGGAAAATTGACCATTTCTGTGTAAAGATCACCGTCATGAAAGAAAAAAAATAAGTCTGCTTGGTCTTTTACCTTTATTCCTTTCTTGAAAAACTATGTTTTTTCAACCTTGATGAATTCAATGTAAAATCTTCCATTTTCAGTTATCATAGGACACTATTTGACATTCACATTATCTCAGTCTTGTGGCATCGGTGGTCTTGCAACAACTGCTGTGTTTTCGTTTCACAGAGCAGGCTGTGCTGCATACAAAAGACACATCCCTGGGACAGCATATCTGTCTCCAGCGGTACTCCAGAAGGGCCACTGATGACTTGGTAATGTTTCTGGGAAGGGAAGGAGAAAGGTTTGCAGAAACGATTGCCCGCAGTGTCGATGAGCTGCAGAGCAGACGGATGAGCTGCTGGCGTCTGTGCGCTCCCCCTCAGCAGAGGCTCTGTGCCAAGCTGTGACATCATGGGCTAATGGATCAGCCTGGTGCTGCTGCATCGGGACTGCTGCTTCTGTCTTAAGAAACAGCTTCCTGCAAAGGCCAGATGTAACCTTTGATGAAGGATGAGAGCTATGCAGAAAAATTTTGGACAGAGTCCTGCAATTCACTGCTTCTTGAAAGAGGCAACTCAGTAGCCACAAATCCTGGGCTTTACCCTATACTGGTTAAAATTTGTGGACTTTCTACTGGAAAAAAAAGTTGAAATTACCAATGCTGTTGGAATTCGTAATGGCTTTGAAAGACAAAGATTTAGAAACCAACATCCTTGTTATTAAAAATAAAATTAAAACAGCAGCTCTAATTCATGTCTGTGAGTGATCTCTTTTTGGTTACTTCTGTACAAAGTTTTAATAAATTGCTCTGTAAATTAGGAGAAGGGGAAGAGAATAATCCCTGGCATGGAATAGAGAAATTCTGAATAAAGACGATGACCATAAAATCTTTCTGTCTGTGCTCTAGTATGGCTTTCACCATCTGACATATAGATATGATAACTGAGGAAGCTATGTGATGGTTTAAGTGCCTTTTGGAATATGGAGCCTTTCCTGAACAGACAGAACCTTGGATGGATGGATCAGGAAAAAGGCAAATGTCTTGTTGAAAAATCTGTCTTCTCTGCATCTAAATGAAGTTGGGACTGTAAGGCTTTTATGAGGAAAAGCTGATGATTAAGTCTTTTCAGTGCACATAAGCACATAATAAATCTGGATCTGAACTCAGCAATGTGACTGACTGTACAGCAGGGTGTATCTGAAAAGCTATAACTTTGAAATCTATGGAAAGATTTTGCAGTCCATTCTCCAGTTCTGCATATTGAATTAATCAGTTGCAATTTATACCTCTGTTTTGATTATGGAGCACTTGAGTAACTTACATAGCAGTGCAGGAGCCAGATTTATAGTGGAAATGTATTAATCTTTGTGAGATAAATATCTAAAACCCTATTTGTAGTCTGAATAGAAGGAAAATGTGTGGGAAGATGAGCAGGATCTGGCTGTATATTTAGTCTTTGGTATCTGTTTAGCAGGGTTGTTCATAGATAAAAAGGAGCCGTCTACTTTGTTGCAAAGAAAATTCTTACTGGATTATATCAATTTCTTTGTTGTCCAGGTTTGTTCTGTAGAATTATTCTGACTTATTCATCAGCAAGTTTACCCTGACTAAATGAGGTCCAGCTCATGTTTTATGTAACACGGTAGATGTTAATAAATAGTCATCTTATGGCCAGGTATATTTGACCTGAATTCATTATGTTAGTCAAACTCACTTAGCAACTATTTTAAACCTGAGGAAACGATTCCAGGGCATAAATGGCATCTTATTTTTTAGGTGACTAAATCTGAATATTAATTAAATATCGTGTAAAACTTGGACGTAAAGTTGAAGGAGCTCCTCTACACACAGAGGGGCAGCAAAACAGGGAAGTTTGAAGGGTGGTTTAGTTTCTGCTTGGGATTTTGTTGTTGTTATTTTCTTTCTTGTTTTTTAATTTATTTTTTGTTGTTCTGGCTTTGCTTTGTTCTCTACCTCTGTGTCAGAAGACTTAATTCAAAGGAGAGCTTGAATTTAAGACCCAAAAAAGGAAGGAAGGCAGGATGCAATTCTCTAGAATTTTCTGTTATGTAACTAGAAGAAGTGGATATTTTTTCAAAGATGAAAGGGTTTTCTTGTTTTTCTTCTTCAAAGAGTTAATTAGCCTCTTGTCATTGTCAACAAATGAAAATAAAATATTTGGGTCTTACCTTGCTAAAGTGGCCCAAATTTTTTTTTTCCCTGGTTGTTTGAACATTGATCAGGACTCTCTTCTGGGGCATTATCAAGCAACCTTGATGTATGTGTGGTAATATTTTCTGACAAATGTACATCGTGATGTGAGAAATGAGCTGATTGTACCCTTCCCTGTACTAAATTTCTCTTTACTCCTCTGCCTATGCTTCAGATATTTTACCATTTCTGCGTGGAAATGGAGGCCTGTCCATGTTTGTCAAAGCTCTTAAATCTGTCCTCAGGTCATTCTCCCATGTCATTGGTAAAAGTGACAGATCTGGTATGTAGAAAAAATGAGCATAAGGAGACAAGAAAAATCTACCAGAAAGATCACTTTATGGGCTAACATATTTATGCAAAGCAACTATTCATATTGTGTACCCATCTCACTGGTTCTTTGCTCAATAGGTACAAAACATTCTCCTTCCTGCAAATTACCACGTGGAACTGAGGGTTCACATGAAATGGAGCAGCATGAGATGTTGTACAGCAATGTAAATGCTAGTCAGAATGCTCTGTAGCTGTCACACTTACCTGAAGGTAACTGTGTAGCAAAGCTAAAATATTACCTTTTTTCTACTTGAGTGAAGAATGCTGCTCTATCAGTCTTAATTGTACCTATTGGATTCTGTGCACACACACATATATAGTTGATTATACAGTTAGGATATATGTGCTTCATTTTATTTATCTGTTTGTCAGGATCAATTCTTTATGATTGTATTTATCCTTTAATTTATAATTGGTTTTCAGAAATTTACATCTATCCTGAATAGATCTGTTAGCATTATTGGGTTTGAATGTCCTTTAATTTGCTTTACTGTCAAACGAGGCTGTACATAAGACAGAAATATTCATGTCTCATCCTCTTTCATTTTCTGTTTAGGCTGCATCAGTTTTATTCTCTTCACTCTTAATAGTCTAAGGGCCATTATAGGGTTGTGAATACAGTTCTTTCAGCAAAAAAATAAGCCTGAACTTTAGCTCTTTGTTTTGGCTTTTTTTTTTTTTTTTTTTTTTTTGAGGTTTCTTTTGTGAGGCCACTCAGAAGTATTTATCTCTTTCAAAACGAATTTTGGAGAAGCATTTTGGATGCTGGGAGCGTATTGTCCTCCTTGCCCTCACCACACAAGTTCTAAAGGATTTTTTCTCCCCAAAGTGTCTTGCTACATAAACAGATGACCTACCTGTTTACCACACTCATTCCTGGATATGAAATACATTTCAGTGACTCAGTGCTTCCTATTAAGCAATATTACCAGTATTCAGAGGAAGGTGGTGGAATTTTCCATGCTCTCTGTGGAAAATTGTTTATTTCCAGTATGTCTGAAAGACTTACTGCAGATGCCTTTCTGATATCACTTCCTTTTAGAAACTAAAGAAGAGATATTTAAAAACTTTAGAAGAAATATCTTTGATATCTCAGGACCAGGTAATATACGAATATTTATACATTAATAATATTACACCAGGATTCATTTCCCCAATTGTAAAACTAATGGAACAAACAGACAATTTTCAGATATGCCATAAGAAATGTGAACACAATATGAACAATTTTCGATGGTCACCATATGAAAGCCTGCTGCTACCATTGGACCGTTCTGTTATTTTATGTAATCATAATCTTTGATCTTCTGCAACAACATTCACAAGTTTTGGGTGGGGTCCTGCACTTACCTCTAAGGGATGACTGTTACTGCATAGATCCCCATGTGGTTTTTGTCACGGCTGTGTCTCTATGTGGCCATTCACAAGACGAAAATGGACCTGGGCATATGGGGAATTTTGAGCCCATGTGTTACTCATGGGTACATTTTTGTTTCTAAAACTAAGAAATTATTAGGATCCTATTTTGCCCTTTAGTGTCTGCTTGGGTACTGCAGTTTCTTTTACCAACTTGAAAAAGAAGTAAAGAGCTCAGTAGGTGAGAAAGCTGAACTTTTAACATTTCTTTTCCAGGATAAAGGCGAGCAGGAATGTAATATTTCTATAATCTCTGTTGGTGAAGATTCCTCTGTGAGTATTTCCTAAATTGTATGCTAAACAGTTGGAAGGGCATTGGTGTGTATGTGTTTTTTATGTCTGTACCTACATGAACAACAATGGATATTGAGAGCTATTTCCAATATATTTTGTCTGTCTTGGTAAAAATTGATACACAGATCAATACTGGTTGGCTAATTCCCATTACTGCAGTTTGCAGAGGATTCATACCTGGCCAAAAGTAATGTTGGTGTAGAAAAATAAAAGCCAAATCAACTCTTTGGTTAAAAGGCCTTACATGGTAATCAAATCCCTTCATATCAAACCAAACTACCTTTGCTTCAGGTGTGAGTTAGAAATTGCCAAACCCTGAGCTGGGAGCCAGTGAAGCTGGGTGAATTTGCCCCAGCTAAAATATCAGAACTTTATCCATTTGCATCATGTTGTGTATCATCTCCCAGTAGAGTCAGCATCAGGATTGGTTTTAGTGGAATTCATAGATGTCCCACTGTAATTGTCCTCCTCTCCTTCGGATTGTTTCCATAGCTCTGCTGAAGTGTGAAAGGCAGATCTCTTACATGATCTGCAGCGTAACTTGGAGTGATTTGCGTGGCTGAGTCATTGATCTGACTTACAGTGACTTGAGGCTTGATATTTAGCAGCAAATGGAGAATAATTGAACTGAGGGCAGTGGCACTGGATGTAAAAAGGGATATGGAAGACTAATGAAGTCCTGGAAAGCAGAATGAATGGATATCTTGAAAAAAAAATTACAAGGCTGATCTAATTATTTTGAAAAACAATTTGGGTTAACTCATCCTACAAAAGTCTTGTGTGGCCATAGCCAAAGAAGTGGTAATTCTTTTCTTGGCCGTGAGTTTTACAGCGCAGTTCATCTAATGCTAAATACAGAGAGATATATTTAGCATGTGTATGTAACTGTAGCTTTGAATAATGTATTGTGCTATTATAGCTAAATGTTTCACCCAGAGATGAATTCACAATAGATTCATTTTTCCTCCTCTAAAAATTTAGATTGAATGTCAACTTTATAACGAGTAACAAAACACTTACTTGATAATTTAAAATGCGGAAAGGGGATCTCAAGTGTCGGACACTGATTTTAGTGACGGGGCGCAATATTCTTAAAAAAATGTTACCTCTTTTCCTCTGTGTTTCCTTGTGTACACCTGATTTACTCGATAATCCCCATATTTTTAACCTGTAGTTTTACAGGTATTGTCTGTGTTTTAATTAAGGGATTGGAGGGCTACAAAAGACTGTCCTCTGGAATGTTTCCTAATTTTATTTTATTACAAAGTACTTAAGTGAAATATGTGTTGCAGCATTCTGCATCCTAAATAACGTGAATGATAGGCAGCCATTATCAATATTATCATTGTCATTTCTTCATTACTCATTTCCTTAAAGTGAAACTGTGACCAGTTGGTCATTTATTTAAGGAGAAATACTGTTAATCTGTCAATTCTTTTATGCTCTGAGAATGCATGAAATTAATTCTCCTTGCATCTGCCTTAATAGTTGTTTAGTACAATATATTTTTAAATCATGCTTGGGATGTTAGTGGATTTTTTTGGTAGCTTACATTAAAAATTCACCAAAGCTGTAGGCTTTTTAAGTCCACGGTTTCTTTTAATCAGTGAGTTATATGTATTTCAATTTACTAAACAGTTTATTTTATTTTAATTTATTTGAAAGGTCACCTTACCTAATTTTAAGAGTAAAAATAAAATTAATTTTATTTTCCATTGAAGAGTTGCAATGTCTTCTGAGCTGCTGCAATCTTGTTGTTCTGTTTCCAGGAAGACAACTTCAATAAATGTCAGATGTAGAATGCCATGACATATAATGACATTACTGCAGCAAATCTAGTAGACTTGTCACATGTGCCTTAGACCTTTGTCACCAAAACTACCTGGGGAAAAAAAAATTCAGTGTGTTTTTCATTTCTTTTACTTTCTTTCCTCCCCAGAGTGATCCCTTCTAGACACCACGACTAATTCTTCTCTCTAATATATTAAGGTAAATTAAGACTGAAAAGATCACTGTCATACCTGTAATAGTGTTGTTTTTGTTGAAGGAGAGAGGCCTTTGCCTGAGAATTGCGATGATTCAGTATTGGGTACTTTTTATGGAAGAGTAATTTTTCATTGAAGTGTTTTTGGGGTTTGTTTGTTTGTTTGTTTTGTTTGCTTGCTTTATTGTTTTCTTTGCTTTGTGTGTGGTGGTGGTTTTCTTTGTCTTATTTGAATTTTTGCTGTACTGATACAGGGAAGCTATGAATTTCCTCAATTTCTCTGTATGTGTTGTTCCCTTTTAGGAATGAGAATATTGTGTCTTCTCAAAATTAAATTAAAGTCTAGCATAAGTCACTTGGAACAAATCTCAGTGATTTCTGTCTGGAGAAGCAGCACAGACATGGATCACATTTACTCCAACCTGTTGTGTATTCTGAAGTTATATATAAATGCCTTAAGGGTCAATTTGATCACTCATGAGGTTGTCAAAGGGACTTGAATGACAACAGCCACCATTTAAGTACCAACAGCTGCCTCCAAGCAGTTGCAGAGACTTCCATCTAGTGCTGCTATCCGCTCTCTCTGTGCCTTCTCTGTGGCCTGCTAATAGCCAAGGGACAAATTTAAGTGGCACCTTTGCCTCCTAGCTTTGGGAAGGGGAGCTTTCACAGTGTGCTTGTGCCTCACACTTCAGGAGAGGCAAAGGTCACAGTGGGCAGGACAACCAATCCTTTGGATGGAACACAGGAGAAAGGGAGTGTTTAACCTCCTGCAGATAGAGCACCCGGTTTGGATATTTGCCAGTGTTTTAGGACATCAGTGTCCCACCTTGGGAGCTTTGTAAAAACAAGGGTGTTGTCTATTCTGCAGGCAGGCTATAGAATGTTTTAATTTTTTTATATTGGTAGTACTACCTTGGTGCCAAGTTGGTGATCGGTCTCTGGGGTTCACCATGCATCTTCTCCAGGTTTTATTTTGTCTGTGATATATATATCACAAAGTTATATCTACATATATTTATCAAGTGTTTTACATTAATTTTTCAGGCAGCTGTAGCACTTCTGCTGCAGAAAAATGAGCATAATGTAAGGCTGGCTTTCCTGACCTTTTTAATCATGACTTTACATGAATTTTTCCTGTAGAGTCACCATGTTAACACTTGTCTTTTAAAAAGTGATAGTTGCATTTACTAATAGTAGCTATTTATACAGTCATTGACCTGCTAGCAGAGGGGTAAAAAGTGCCTTCAAATAAAATTTTATTTGCACAGTCCAGATGTTCAATAAAACCCAATTTCCTATATAACTAATATTCCTTGACTTTTGTAATTTTTCATTTGGTTTATCCTACTAATTGTTTTAAATCACGGTTTTTAACTTGTGCATCCTTGTTTCCAGAGCACCAGCAATTTAAATGACTGTAAGAAGAGTCTACTCTGTTACACAAGAGGCAGTATCTCTTTCACCTTTTATATGTGCATTTTTAAATGTGTATAACTCTGAACAACCTGCTTGCAGTGCAGTGACAACTGCATGCTTGTGCAGTAGTAAAATTAGTAGCTATTAATTATTTTAATAACTTTATTTTAAAAATTAGTTGAGCTTTTCCATCAAACAAAAGATATGATATTCATTTCTAGTTTACTTTTAGGGATGGCTGATGCTGGAAAATTATGTAGAACAAGAATGTAGATTGCAAAATTAATATTCTTGTTGTCTCCACAAAGGAATGTGAGGTTTTCAAATGGTATAAGGTGCCGTGTTGGAGCCGTTTTAATTCCTGATATCTATTTACTTGAGTTTCTGCATTGCACAGCTTTGATGTCTTTGTCCTTGGACTCTTCATGTTTAGGTGTATAAATATCTCCCTGCAATGTTTACAGAAGCTTTGTATGGCAGCCACATTCATGTGGAGTAAAGGTGGGGTCTCTGCTGGGGGTTTAATCCAACTGTTTCTCAGTCCTTGAGAATTTTTTCATCCCTACTTGACTCATTTGTCTTTTCCTCTCTCCTCTCCCTGCTATTAATAGAGTTTATTTAAATTAAATATTATAAGTGCAGTGTCATCAGCTCAGCTTAGAATAAACAGAAAAGCATATCCTGGTGGGCAAACCAGAGGCGGATCTCCATTGCATGTTGTCAGTGATGGTGGGAGGGTGTTATATGTAGCTTGGAATTACAAAAGAGTTTATGCATCTGTTTAATATAGTAAAGTATTTTAAAGAACAGGAGATAATGTATAAATTAAAAAAAAAAAAAAAGAGTTCCTAGACAACGGTGGTCCTGTAAGAAAAGATAGAAGTAAATATGAGAGGACAACAGGAAAACTAAGTAAAGAAAATGTTCTGGTATATTTTTTTTTTAATTTATAAATTTAAATAACTGATGCTTAATCACAGAATAGTTAGGATTAGAGGGGCCCTCTGGAGCTCATCTAGTCCAACTCCCCTGCAAGACAGGGTCACCTCAAGAAGGTGACACAGGAACTCTTCCAGTTGGGTTTTAAACACCTCTTGAGAGGGAGACTTCACAACCTCCTGGGTAGCCTGTTCCAGTGCTCTGCCACCCTCAAAGTAAAGAAGTTCTTCCTCAGGTTGAAGGTGGAACTTCTTGTGGTCATTACGCCTTGTCCAGCCTCTGGGCACCGCTGAAAAGAGTCTGGCACCACAAATTATTCTGAATTATCCTGTAAAGAATCAAAATACATTGATCTTCTGCCCCTGTAAAAAAATATTTGGTATTGTGTCATGGAACGATAATTAAAAGCAAAATTGTGCTGAAAGGAAGCAGCCAGAGGGAATTCTTTAAAACAAAATACGTGAATGAGCATTTGAGCCAGAGTTGCACAACAGTGAGTGCCAAGACTAACTATTGCAGTGTCTGTCAAATTTGGAAATGTATATGTCATGCCAAAAATGAAAGAAACCTTCATAAAGAAGTAAGAAATTTCACTGTTGCCAGAGCTACACAGGAGTTCATTTAGATGCTTTGCAAAATCTCACCAGGGTAATTCACAGTGAGAGTTTAGAAAATGTGAGAGCTGTAACTGTTCAGACTATTGTAGAAAAATGGTCATCTGAAGAGAATTCTTTCACTAAAGGCAATTTAATGACCAAGCAACTGAACATCAGTAAAGATTTTACCTTGAATATTTAACATGAAGTGACTTTTTATGGTTGATTTTCCAGATAGCAAGGAGTTAATAACAAGCTAGGAGGACAGGAGGGATGTGACTGATGTGAGTTTTGCATTCATCTGCCTCTTCTAGGTTTGGGTATGGTGCTTGCCTCTGTTTCTCTGCTTTTATACTTTCACTTCTGGAACCTGGAAGATTATTTTAGGATTTAGGGAGGAGGGCAAGACAGTTGTGCATAGCTGTGTCTGATTTTTCTCCTCTAAAAGACAGACATGATTTTGGAATTCACAGAGGAGAAGGGCAGGGAATTTGGAAAGTAAGACCTTGAAATAACATGCAGGTAGAATTCTGTCACATCGAACAAATTTTACTCCACAGCAGATTCAATGTAATACATGAAAAAAACCACCATTGCAAAATACTATTATTGAGATTGTTCTTGATTCTTTATGGGATTGCTCAACCTCCTAAAATCAAATTGTTGGCCCACAGTCTTAGCTCTTTTGACCCTAATACAGTATATGTGTGGAGTTGTATAAAGATGACACCACGTGCAATAATGGTAGTTGGTCTGGGTGTAAATACAACAGTCTGAAACACTGTTTTGTGCCTTTTGGTACCTTTTAGCTGGTTTGTACTCATATTGTACATTTGTTGTTTTCCCGCACCTGATTCTAGGACAGTTAAACTGTAATTTGGCTTTACATATAAATCTAGCATGAGGGAGCAGGTGGAAGAGGGAGCACAAAATGCAGTAGCACATTGGCAATTACTATATCAACTTCCCAGCTAATAATGAGTTTTCATTCTTCAGTGAACAGAGAGCAAGTGAACTTAAAAATTAAAAACTTTTCAACTGTTGAAAAACATGGCTGCATCCACTGAAAAATAAGATCAAAGGAGATGCTTGAACAGCCTCTCTCTGAAGACTGCTCTGTCACTGTCTTGCTTGTGGAACACAGAGCTTTGAACCCCTGCTCAGTTCTGGCAGCTGGCAGCAGTTTATAAGGCTGTGTTTTAACCCTCCATCTGCCTTCCCAATGCTATCTTTGGTCTGGTTCCATGGTATCTCAAGGATTAGCTGTGTGCATACTCCAACAGCTTTGCATGTCTCTCGGCAATATCCGGCTTTAAACTTAATACAGTAGGAGGTCATTCTTCCCATTGCTATGCTTCTTATTTGTTTAGATGCAGTCACTGGATCTGCCACAAGCTTTAAATTCTTGCAGGATTGGTTGGCCAGCGAGAGCACGTGTATAACTTACTGATAAGTGACACATTTTTGTCATTGTTTCCAGACTGGTGTAGTTTGTTACGCCTGTCATTTTGCGTTCAGTGGTAATCTCTTTCAGCTGTTGTATGCTAACGTGTCTTAATACACTATTGCTTTGTACAAAGTACCTGAATAATTTCATTATGCTTATATAAGCAATTATCTTTGTTGTTTTAACAGTTATCTAAGTAGAGATGTTAAGGCACAGCTGAGATGAGAAAGCAGGAAACTGGTTTTCAGGGCTCAGAGTTGTAGAGTGCGGGTATGTGCCCACCACCTCCCTCACACCCATTCCCAGTGAGGACAATGGTACAAGAGTCACCTAAGGAAACTCAGAATTGCCGTTGCCTTAAAAATTTTCATTGTGCAAGGATGTCTGTGAAATTTTATTTACTTGACTTTGTACTTACTAGAGAAAAAGCAGGTATTTGTCCAAAGGATAAAAGGCAGGATATTTTCTGTGATACCCCTAGTTGCTATAAAGAGAGGTGAAAGGGCATCACCAGCAATTTTGACTCTGATCTAAGAAATAAAATAAAATATATCAGAATTGACTAGTAATAAGTGTTCTGTTTCCGTTTCAATTTGTGGAAGTCCTACAAACGTAACACTGTAAAAACTGTACTGAGTATTATTGAATAATTTTGAATAGGCTATTACTTAAGAAAAGCTCTGCTCTGACTCATGAGGTGCTTAATCAGAATGAAATGTGTCAAGAAGCTCTTAACTCTTGCTGATGTTGCCAATTGTTTTTCTAGACCATGATTCCTTGCTTTGAACTTGACTTGTTGAAGCACTGTTACAGTTTTGATTTTTTCAAATTTATTTAAAGACTGAAAATGTCTCCCTCTAATTTGGAGTTCTTCCCCAATAACTTAGTATTAAACAAATGCATTTCAGTCCTCTAATGTTTAAGAATAGATAAACTAATCTTCCCTATCTTGGAATAGCAGTTTTTGGTTTAATCCTGAACATGCACAGTCACACTTTGGAAATGCCACTCATCCACTGCTAGCTCTTTCCAGAATGGAACGAGAAATTTCATTCTGAGATTTCTGAAACCATTAGCCACTAGTCTCATGCAACTGTATTAAAAAAAAAAATAAAAAAATTAGCGCATAATTAACCAAAACATCATGTGTTACTCTAAATTTGTATGCATTTCAATTTGAAATCCAGACAGGGCTTCCCTGAGTTTTGCAGGTTGTGCGGAGAATGTCCAGCTGGTGCCTGGCTGTCCCACGGCGGTGGCTCCTGTCCCTGGGCGCGGCAGGGCGGCTGCAGGGCAGGGTCACTCTGTGCTGTTCGCCCTGGTGGCCACCGGGTGTCATTCTCGGAGCGGGCTTTGCCCAGCCCCGGAGCACGACTGCGGCAGCAGCGCTGGAGGATTCGCCCTGGAAGTTGCTTTGCACCAAATCAGCCTCTAAAGCAATGAGCATTTCCCTTCTCCGTCTATATTTTTTTAAAAAAATAATTATTATAAAGTATAAACAGTGTTGTTAACTTCCATATCTGCGTTCAGAATGTGTAAAGTACTGAGGGAATCAAAGGCATTTGTGTTAAGATGTTCTGTAAATGCTACACACACAGCTGGGGAAAATTCTGCATCTACCCATCAAATTTGCATGAGCTTTAAATACAGAATTTCTGAAGTTGTTAATATATATTTTCAATGACTATTTAGTGGGCAACTGTTTCGAATCTGTACATAACTGACATTTTACAATTAAAGTGCAGGAAGAATGAGGAGGTAGAATGACTTTTAGACACACACAAAAAAATAATCTCTTATAGTTTTTTGGGATTTTTCCCCCATTTTTGACAGAAAAGGAAATCCTAGAAAAGGTCCATAGCACCTTGTAAGGCACTAATACAGGCTTAGGTGGGTGTTACACTGAAGAAAGTCTGCTGAATTCAGTGTTTAACATATTGTTGGGCTTGTTTTAAATAATTTTTAGGAGTGGTTCCCCTGGAAGGATGAGCAAGAGCACTGGATATCTTCAAGAACAGAAATTGTAGCACAAAAAGGAGATGAAAGGTTTAGTGAAGTTAGGTCCATGGCACATAAGGCAATAAGGACAGATTTTTGGTAGGGCAGAGTTATGGTGCTTTAAAAGCGAAAATGTGAAACCTGAACTTAAAGCAGAAGTACACTGGAAGAAAACTATGTTGCAAACAGGAGTATGAGTTAGGATATTGGAGAGCACTTCCAATGTACTGTAATGTAGAGGCTGATGCTCCGCTTGCCGTCTTTGAGCTGAAATTATTCTCATTCTCATACTTAGAATTCCCAAATGAAACTGGCTTCATGTAAAGATTTTTTTCTGAAACCATTGGACAACTTGAGTTTGTCCAAAAACTTGTGAGATAAGTGAAATACAAATTTTGGGTTTTGGCTGGATCAGACAATGGAGCATTAATTTTTTTTGTCTTTTTACTATGGTTGCATTTCTAGAAGTGTCAGATCTTGAAAACTTGCCTCCTTTTAAAGCAATAGCTGCTTTAAAGACTGTCACATCTACAGCCAGTAAGTTTTCCTCTGAAGGTACTTCACAAAGAATACAGAGAAAGGCTCTCAAAGAACTTGGTTCTATTTGAACTATTTTTGCATTAGAAAATAAGTAGTTTTTAAAATCCAAATTTCAAAGAAGGTTTGTGCCCCTATTCTTTGTACTTTGCACCATAATTGTCTGTACCACACTATCTGAGCATCAGCTCATATTGGGTTAATCAAGATGACTACTCTCTCATGTGGTGTTTTCTTTCTTTTCCCTCTTACCTCCCAAATTTCTCCCCAGTAATGAAATGGTCTATATTATATTCTGTATGTATGTT